GAGACACAGCATCTTTGAAAATCTAAGAACACAAAGTGGATTAAAGTGCAAAAGAAAATAAGTCTTTTTCTGCATTTTCTCTGTTTTCAAATGAGAAACTCACCAAATCAAAATTCCTCGCAGTTTTCCTCCTACTGTCCACCAAGTAAGTACAGACTGGTAACAGACACCAAACCCTGTAATGACTACTTGGTTTCAACAGTCTCTTCAAATTTCATCTAAATCATTCATTGGTTGATTATTAACTGCATTGTGCTAGCTTTTACTACCCTTATGGAGAATGGGATCTGTCCCGAAACAACCATAAACTAACCTACTGACTCAAAACTCTCGAGAATCGTATTTTGGGGATAAAATTATTACTTTTTTAGTTTAAGTTATTTGTGTTTTCCAAGCAAATGTCAAACATTTGTTTACATTATAAATCTCCCCTTTTATTTTAGATTGCAGCTCTTTCTTTGGATGTTGCTTCACAGCTTTTATTGTCCTCCTGTTGCAGCCTTGATGTCAACAGTTATTACCTTGTGTATTCTTATAGACAAAGGAGTTCTTCATACTTCCCTGTGGTTTATGATTTTATTTTATTTTTTTTGCAATAAGTCATCGTATAGGCTCAGTTCCAAAAAAGGCCAAATTTCAATGTACGAACTTTTTTTAAACTTACTTTTATTTTTAAAAACAAATATTTTTATTTTTAAAACAGATTTTAAAGTTGGAGGTTTTTGCATCTTTTGCCTCCAAATATGAAAATAATGGAAGTGTTTCTTTAAATGCAGGTCTGAGCCCTGTTTTCAATTGATATTTGTCCTTTTATGTTCACAGACACATCAAACTGGAGCCAGGCTTCTCAGTTTTTTCCCATCTGACATATGAAGTGAGAGTTTAAAGAAACAGCAGCTCCAACCAAACAAATGTTTAAGGATTACTAAAGTAATGTTAGTACTGAATCGTTATAACAGACATCCATCTAGATTCTAGATGGTTAATCAGCAGAAAATCACTTATCATAAAAAAAATAAAAGATTAAAAAAAAATAAAGGTTGATTAGCTTCCACTTGGATTTAACCCCACCAGCATGGACCTCACTGTATGGTATTTGCATATTCTCCATGTCCAGAGTCTCTCGTCCCATAACAGCTCAGATAGGCAGCAGTCCCCACCATCCGCCCACCCCACATGGATAAATGGAAGAAAACGGATGGATGTTCTGAGATTTTAAAAACCACAGAAAAGAAATATTTGTGAAAGTCAGATTTTATTACATTTTTTCTAATCTGTTGGATTCCATTGCTAACTCCAGTATTAGTACTCATTAACTGATTACACTTAAATGTAACCTGATGCCTTTCAGTGCATGTGTGGCTGAAGAGCCCTAATTTTTTAAATTATTATTAGAAAACCGATATAGAGCTTGAGCACTGTTCATCAGATACATTACATTTCCATGTTTGTTTCCACCAACTCTAGATTTGCCCAGAATTTTTAAAGAGAAACACAAAAACATCATAAAAACATTTATTGACTGAGAAAATCAGCGATCAGCGATTCTCTTTTTTCAAATGAAACCTTGCCTTGAACTCTCTGCCAAGGAAACACAGTTCAGTAACAGATGCCAAGCCCTGCATTGGTTTCAAAATACTCTACCTGATACTCAGATTTCATGTGGATTTTTTATCAGTTAGTTATTAGCTGGATTCTGCTGTCTTATATTACCTTTAGGCAGAACAGGATGCAGCTGAAACATGTTTAATGGACTTCAAACCCTGGAGATTTTGCTTGACTATCATTTGATCAAATTATTTTTACTTCATAAGCCATTTGTGTTTTTCAAGCTCACTGTCAAACATGAGCTTCATTTCTGTCATAAATCTCCCCTTTGACTTTGGTTTATGGTTCTTTCTTTGGACTTTGCTTCACAGCTTTTATTGTCCTCCTGCAGCTTTGATCTCAACATGTATTACATTGTGTATTGTAAGAGAACCAGGGATTTCTCATGTACTTCACTGTGGTTTATGACTTTATTTTGATTCATTTTTTACAATGAATGTTTGTATGGTGGTGGCGATTTTACTACATTGCTGTTTGTTCATGTCTGTACAGTAGTACAGAAATGTAGTAGCAGCTTAATAACCTCCTGACTGAAATGTGAGGAGTAAATGCTAAAATCCCCCAAACAACCTCAAGCGCTTTTTTTAGTATATGCAGGACTATATTGTGAAAATCAGTACAAATATTGTTTACATTAAAGACTTTTTGTTGAAATTCATTTTGTGGATCTATTTTACAAATTTGGAGAATGAAAAAAATACATTAAATATTTAGCATCTCATTTTATTCTTTGTGGTTATGAGGATCATTATTTTGCATGCTGTTCTATGGGTTTCTTATGTACATAGCTGAGAGGAGATGAGACACATTCGCTGCTGTTTCACTGACCCTGCATGTTAATGCTGCGCAACATGTAACTGCACAATAACTTTGGTGTCAGATCAAACAGACCAGCCAGTCAGTCAAGTTTTTTTAAGCTTGGAATAAAACAAAACAGCTTCCATTCAGATGAAATAGCACAAATACCTTTAATGAATCCCACAAAACAAAAAAGATTTTGATTGTACTAACAAAACCAAATAAATATATACAGAATGCAGTACAGCCAGTACTGATATACGTATTAAACAGACAACAGATGAATTAGTATTTGGTCCATTTACACAGTAGCACATTATATTGTATTTAAAATTGTAAAAATTTATTTTCCCTAACTGAATGATTTGACAGTGAGCTCTGAATAACTAACCTGGCCAAAACATCAGCAGCAAAAGTCCAAAGCTCCAGGGCTACAACAGTTAACTCACCTAAAAGCTGTCTTGAAATGAGCCCCCCATTATGTTACAGCTGGCTTGAAATTGAATTGAACTAAATGATTTTAATTTAGCCACACTGGAGGGTTTTCGTGCATGAATGATCTGTTTAAGGTCATCACAAACCAGCTCAGTCTGATTTATTTCTGCACTCTGACTAGGATACTCCAAAACCTTCCTTTTATTCACTTATTCATTTATTATTTGCATCATTTAAAGGTGGACTTGCTTGTTTTGTATCCTTCTGCATAATCCAAGTGAATTTAAATTTCAGAGCACTGATGGCCGGACATTTTCCTTCGGGATTCTGAATTTCCAGGATTTAAATAGTAGATAGCTAAATTCATGGTTTCACTAATTACAGCAAGTTATCCAGATCCTGAAGCAGAAAAGTACCCTCTATCCCTCTATGACTCTTAATATGATATATGTTTTATGAAGTGCCGTTAATTTTATGGCAGATACAAAGGAATGTGAACCTTCCAAGAAGTTCAACTTTTATCTCATCAGTCAACAGACTTTTTTCTTAAAAACACACAGCAAGATGTATTTTGGGAAATGTGAGATGAGCTTTTGTGTTTGTTTTGGTCAGCAGTAGTTTTCACTTTGGAAGTCTCCTATAGATGCCATTTTTTAACCCAGTCTCTTTCTTATTGTTGAATCATGAACTCTGATATTAACTGTCTGCAATTCTTTGTTCTGGATTCTTTTGTGATCTCCTGGAGTGATTTTGGTAGGCTGGCCACGACTGGGAAAGTTCACCACTGTTGTAGGTTTTCTCCATTTGTGGATATTGGCTCACAGCGTGGTTCACTGGGGTCCCAAGGTCTCATAATTGGCTCCTTCCAGACTGACAGATGTCAGTGAGTTTGTTTCTCATCTCTTCTTGAGGGTCTTTATATTTTGGCATGAAGTTTAATGAACCATTAAATCACTGTTAATGGTTGGTTCATTCTTCATAATAGATTGCATGTAATCAAAAGTATCAATAAATGTTAAATGTCAGAAACAAAACAAAGTAAGATGAAGGTTTTCAACAGGTTTCTTCTTCATGAAACCAATTTGTTTGAACTTGGTATTTCCCTTCTTGGATAATTAAGAATTACATTCATGATTTGCGGCATTATTCCATCCTTTTTGAAAATCTTGTTTACATTTTAAAAATAAATCTAACCAACATTTACCAACAGTTTACAAAATAAACAGATATAATAATCACCACAAGTTAAATATCAAACCAAAACAGAAACACTCCCCTCAACTTTACAATGAAATGTTAGTTGGACAAATTTTGATATCAGAGGTTTTGGCATCTCCTTTTCCCCCCACGTTAAAATATGGGAAGAGTTTCTCAGTGAAAGTGTCTCTGTGAGTGTAGATGTGAGTCATGTCTTCAGGGTCATAGAAGGACACCTCCCTCCTGTCATAGTCCAGCTGGACTCTGATCCTCTGGAGACTCTTCTTCACTTGTAGAGGCTGACCATCACCATTAGTGTATTTTCCACTTTGATGTGTTAAACACCGGAATCCACAGGTTGGCGAAACAGATGACGCATTTTTGTCAACTGACTCTTTAACTAAACCCACAATCCAGACAGGATGGTCTCCCACCTCCACCTCCCAGCTGTGTTTCCCTGAGCTGAAACCCTCAGAGCCAAAAACATTGGCATACTTAGTGTTTCTCTCTGGATTATCAGGAAGCTGCTGCTTTGTGTCTCCATTCCTCACACTGGTCAGATCATCAGACAGATAGAGACGGGGGCTTGCAGTGTTTGGGTCCAGAATGACAGGACTGAAGTGGACCTTCTCCTTCATCTTCTCCCACACTCTGAAGGACAGGTTGCCCAGGTGTTTGGCCACATCTATCAGTGCTCCTGAGACCAGCTGTGGATCTGACACTGAGCTCTGGGCTCTGCTCTGAGTGTCTTTATAACTGCTGAGGAATGGCACGCTGTGTTTCTGCAGCTCTTCTTCAACAGCAGAGATGCTGTCTGACAGAGAGGAGATCTGCTCCTCAATCATCTTCATCTCTCTGCTGATAGTCCTCCCCTTCTGCTCCTCTTCCTCCCTCAGAGCTGCCAGTCTGGACTCCTCTTCCTCTTTCAGGAACTGCTGGAGCTTGTTGAACTCTGCTCTGATCTGCCTCTCTGTGGACAACAGCTGCTTCTTCATGTGTTCCCTCACGTCATTGTATGTTTCCTCCACTTGTTTGTATTTGTTCCTCTTGTCCTGCAGAGACTTTAAGTCAGATTTCAGCTGCTCCTTCAGGTCACTGACTGCTTCTTCTACAGGAACCACTTTGTGAGTCTGGTGGAGAGAAAAGTCACACACAGGACACACAGCTCTGTCTTCATCCTCACAGTACCAGTAAGGGACGTCTGGATGTTTATCACACACCACCTCCTCCTTCTCTTCCTCCTTCTCGTTTTCTGCCTCAGGTGAGCTCTCACTGTGTCTCTTAGCAAAGGAGTCAGCAAGTTCTTTCAGAGCAAAGTTCATGGATGGTTCATCCTTTGAAGATTTTCTTTTACAAATGGGACAGTTTTTGTTTTTAGTTTGTTCCCAGAATTTCTGCAGGCAGCTTGAACAAAAGCTGTGGCCGCAGCTCAGAGACACAGGATCTCTGAAAGTCTCTGAACACACATGGCAGCTCAGGAAATTTTCAAAAAGTGCGACTTTCTCCGCCATTTCGTAATTTTTTTTATGACTCACCGAAATACGACCTCTTTGCCTGATAATGTCGCCAAATTGTGCTCTTCGGTACAGAGCGCAGGTTTTAATGTAATGGCCTCCAGTGTATCGAAACTCATTTCAGTTTCATTTACTCTGTTGTGGGCGGAGCTGATAGTAACGGACTTGCTATATTCCCACTAGATGGCGCCATTTCTGTGTTACAGATTTTGAATACACCACCAAACTTCCTCTGATGCTTCAGAAAAAATATTTAGCTGAACCAACATGAATATGCGTCGTTGTTTAAATTCTGGTTTGAGTTTAGGCTGCTCCGACCTACCTCTGTACACCAAGGATCGACATTCAAGTATAGCGTTATTCATGTTATTCATGGCACAGCAGTTAAAAAAGGGCAAACAATCCTATATTAATACATTAATATTTCAATATATTACTGTAATATATATTATAATGACATAATCGTCCACAAAGAACAACTACTACACACGACCATTTAATTCTCTCGCTTTTCTGTCTCACATGATGCTTTGTCTCCCAGCAAAGAATTTCTTTCAATGTAAAGTTCCTTCCTGGAAAATCAAGATTTCTTTTCACACATGTGACAGTTTTTTCCCCAGTTGCCAGAATTTTTTATATAATATTTATTATTCCAGTAAAACTCATACTAAGATTCATAATATCAGGAGACAGGACTGATAAACTGGTCAAACTAAACACAACATCCAGATAACATGTAATAATGTACAGTCCCAATCAAAAGTTTAAGATCACTTGAAAAATGGCAAAAAAATATTATTTTACATGGTTGGATCTTAACAAGGCTTCAAGTAGAGCTTCAACTTACAACAAGAAGAAATGGGAGTGAGACAAAACATTTGGGCATTTAAAAAAAAACGGAAACAGGCAGTTTTACAGTTGATCCAAAGTTTAGGACCACATGCCTTTAAATGTAAAAATTTGAATTTATTGTCATTATCTTTCAGGTCACTGTTATGATGTTCTAATGGCAAAGGCAAAAAAAAAAGTTCCCTTTTTGAATGTGGTCAGGTTGTTGAACTGCATAGGTACGGTCTCTCGCAGTGTGCCATTGCTGCTGAGGTGGCACAAAGTAAGACAGTCATTTTGAATTTCTTAAATGACCATGAGAGTTATGAGACAAAAAAAAGTCAAGTGGAAGACCCACAAAAATTTCACCAGCACTGAGCCGAAGGATCCAATTGTCATGCACTGTGTGCGGCAGGCAGGTAGGGGAGACCAAATGTGCAGACTCCAGGAGGTGAAAATTGCCATCAAAAAAACTTTATTGCTGGAAACACGCAAAGCTAACAAAATACAAAACAAATTACTGTGTGGCAGAACACACAGTATGGCATGAGGGAGATCACAACACAGACCAAGAAACACACAGGGCTTAAATACACACAGGGATAACGAGAGGATGGGGAACAGGTCCTCAGCGGCCGTTTGACGCCCCTGCACGTCCTGAAGCCCTATTGTTCCACTGAAGGAAAAAGCACCCCAGACCATTATGGCGCCCTGTCCACTGTGGTGATTAGAAAACATCTCAGGTGGAATCTGCTTGTCATGCCAGTAAAGTTGGAAGCCATCAGGACCATCAAGGTTAAATGTTTACTCATCAGAGAATAAAACTTTCTTCCACCTTTCAATGTCCCATATTTGATGCTCTCTTGCAAAGTCCAAACGGTTATTTCTGTGACGTTTAAGGAGACAAGGCCTTTGAAGAGGTTTTTTGTTTTTGAAGCCCTTCAGTCTCAGATGCCGTCTGATGGTTATGAGGCTGCAGTTGGCACCAGTAATGGCCTTAATTTTAGTCAAGGATCATCCAGTGTCTTGATGGACAGCCAATTGGTGTTAGGGTGCCTGGGTGGTCCACCCAGTGTGTTATGGTCCAGGTGAGTGCTGGTGTTTTTCCATTGTACCTGTTTTTCCACCTTGGGGCGGAGCCGTGGTGTCTACACGCATTGGCGACACCTGTGTGTAATAGGTCTGTGATGATATAAGACCAGCACTCACAATCACTCTTTGTGAGATCATCTGCTAACCGCTGTTAGTGAGGGCTGCCACAGTCAATATGTTTAGTTATTGTTGCGCTGACAGTGTTTCTCAACTTAAATGATTATTGGAAATTCATTATTAATGGAAAACACTCTGTCCTTTGATTTTACTAGTACTTTTGTCAGAACTAGGTGGGGCTGAAAACCTGTGCAATGTTCCCATCAGACTTTGGCTTTTGGTTTATTGTGAACAAATGTGGAAAACCTACTTTGTCACAACACAGATACCTGTGATGAAAATAATGAATGTAAAGTGAATTTCAAATTCATTTTGATAAAATGTTTGGTTTTAGTTTTAGTACTGACAGCTTTAATATCCTGGTCTTTGCTGTATGCAGCATCTTAATAAACAGACTCCTCATGTATTTCCCTTTAGTTTGTGTTACTAATTTATTTCCCAGTTGTATAAATTGGATGATTTTGTATGTGCTCCCCTCATTACCTTTTTTTAAAAGTGAATTTAACATACACTAACTTGTCACTGTGTTTATTGCCTGGTAATATATGATCGAATATAGGCATTCTTTGCTTTTTAAAAACCAACCAAAAGTTTTAAGGCGTAAGTGCTTCCAAGCTTCTCATATGCAGTGCATGTATGGATAAAAACTACTTCTAAACAAAAAATAACTTAAAGTACATTTTACCAAGAGACAAGACATGAAAAAACTCTAAATGTTAACAAACTGATGGTGAATTTACCCCTAAGACAATCTGTAAGGGAAGTGTTAGCTTTGGTTTACCTGGTGGATATAAACACAGAGAAATGATGTCCACACAAATTCAGATGAGTTTTTGCTAATTAAATATAAGCAAGAAATGAGCATTAGTAAATCAGCCTTGATATTGTTTAGGTGGTCAGACTGCTTTATATGCGTGCACAAGCTTGTTCTTGTTCCACAGCAGTAAAGCACCATTCTTCATCCGTCTTTCTCCAGTGTTGTCACCACTTGCTTCTTATATTTGAAATATCCTTTTCAATCGACTCGCTACATATCTCTTTGTTTGATTTACAGTGTTTGTGTTTTTATGGTCTGGAGCTCCATTCAGCAAAGTTGAGAGTACTCAAATTAGCTTCCCTGGAGGAAAACTGACACCACATCTTAACAGCCCAGGGTGCAATTTGATTCATTAACAATTTAAAAACTGTAACCCTCCCTATGAAGAGCCTTTAATACAGATAGATATCTAATACTATTGTGGTTGCTTTATCAAAATATAACCCGTCCTGTTTGAACAATCACCACATAAATTATGCTATAAATCAAGTGTTTAAACCATGAAGTCACTGATTCATTAAATGAATATTCATGTACAACTGCAAGAGAAATAAGGCAGAGTAAGTCTTCCACAAAAATTTGTGTTTGTAAAATAAAGTATTTTACTTGAAATACACAAGTACATAAGAGAGAATTTACAAAGCAAAATGTTCACAAAAACATAACAAAATATGCATAAATAATATAGAAAAAGGACAAGAAGAGGTGGGGTCATTTCAAAAGTGCCTTCAGATTCCTCAGTTAAGCCAGCTTCACCAGTCTCTCACTGGCCTCCCACAGCTTTTTGGCCACACCTGCATCTTTTGCAAAAGGACGGAGCACTGCAGGTCGGCAGTCGACGAAGTACCCCCCGCTGTGTTTGGCAGCTTCATCTGACGCGGCACAGTAGATGACAGTCTGAGCTCCAATCTCACACGGCACAAAAAACATCCACATGATCACCTGCATCAGCATCCGGAACAGGAAAGAGTAGTGGCATGTCCAGCTGCTTTGCACAAAACCTGGAGTAACATAAAAATCCAAGATATGAGGATAATTATTAACTTTTTAGGTCTTTAAATAGTTGAATGACACAAGTTTGTATTTTTGCCTCTGTACATCACTACAATGGATCAAACAGTCAAGATGCGGTGGAAGAGTTTGGTACTGTTAATTTCAGCTGTCATGCTTGGTACCATTTTTTTCCTCATCCAGGTAATTAAATAAAACGAAAAATCATAATCTCCTATACTGCTATTCTCTCTAAATGGTTTCGTGAGCAAAGGTGGATCTGACTGAAAAACCATGGATTATGCTCATGTCAAACGTGATTCATTAATAACACGGCAGACCCAAACGGTTATCCCAAAGGAAACCCTGCTTTATTGCCTTCTCTGACTCTAAAGACACCATAATTTAAAAAAAATCAACTGCATGTTTCATTCAGTAAGTTGTGAAACTTGCACTTGAAACCTCAACAGATTGTTCAAGTCATAGATCAAGAAAGGTGAAAAGTTTTTTCTCAAAGACTAAGCACTTCTTTTTGCAACCAGGAGTCGCCCCCTGCTGGCTATGAGAAACAATGCAGATTTAACTACATCCAACATTGGTCTCACTTTTCAAAACCAGAAGAGACTTCCCAAATATTGTATAAAAAGGAAGGGGAGAGGGGTTTTTTTGTTTTGTTTTTTTTTACAGTAAAACTGCAAGCTCTGTTAGGAAAATGTACCTCTTGAAGGATAAAGATGGAAGGGTAAAACAAAATCTCTTTATAATTTTTAACCATTCTACCTCAAGGCAAATTATAGAAAGAAGACATAATAAAAACTGATTAAAGAGAACTGTTGATAAAAGGTTTTTACCAGGGTGCACAGCATATGAAGTCACTCCTTTCCCGTCAGTGATGCGAGCCAGTTCCTGACTGAAGTAGATATTAGCCAGCTTGCTGCGGCAGTAGGTGAAGAAGGGAAGCAAGTTGTAATTGAGGTCCTGGAAGTCCAATTTCTGGTATTTGTAAGTGGAGCATGTGAGGGTCACCACCCGGCTGGGGGCACACTCCTTCAGGCGAGGAAGAAGCAGGTTGGCTAGAAGGAAGTGCCCCAAGTGGTTGACGCCAAAACACATGCTGAAGCCATCATCCGTCCAGTCAAGGATGCTGGGCATGCCTGCACAAAGAGAAAGAAAGAGATCAAAAAACAATGAGATGGTGAGGCAGGAAACAGGTGACTATAAAATCCTGCTTTTTTTTTTTTGGTTCCATACAGTGTAGCTACAACACAGATGTTTACGACAATGTGTGCTGGGAAGCATCTGTAGTTTTAAAGTAAAACTATCAGTCTACAGTCTCAATAAGCTTCTGCTGTCACTGCAAACTTTTCTATGCAGGATTCTGCACATCAGCAGCTTGCTTGTTTTGGATCCGACATGGAAAAACAAACCTAAATAGTGTAAGCTAATCAACTCCAATCAAATGTGATTTATTAAAAGGAAATAGTTCCTATTCTATATATTGCTTTTGATATTGTTTCATAGATCAAGAGACCTAAATGTGGTTGACACACTCACCTGCATTATTGATCAGGATATCAAGCCTCTTCTCTTTCTGGAGAAAGTTCTTACAGAATTCCCTCACTGAGCGCAGGTTGGCCAGATCCAGCTCCATGTGAAGGACGTTCAGACTGTGACTCTTTAACTTGATCTCTCTGACGGCCGTCTCGGCCTTGTCCGGGTCTCTGCAAGCGATGACGACACGGGCGCCTCTCAGTGCCAAGGCAACAGCGGTCTCCTTACCTATACCTGAATTACCACCTAGGAAAAATGATAAGCACTAATATATAAATGTCCTATGTGAAATCTATTACTGTAACCCTGCTTGGAATAATCTAAGTTTTATTGTAATATTATTTAGTATTTTGACTTCTATTAAAAACTTAAACCCCACTAACACTGCATCAACAACAAAGCTTACTAAAGGTGTGTGCTGCCCCACACATTTACCTGTTATAAGAACTGTTTTACCATCAAGTCTTTTCAGGTCGGTGAAATATCTCCTCTTTTTCATCCATTTCAGAATGAAGAAAAAAACTAAAGATGCGAGAATTGTGTAGAAAACATACATTTCCCAGCGAGCAGTCTCACCGACACTGACGTCTTTAATACAACCAGCTGATGATGCTGCTAGCTGGTTAGCTTGTTAGCTAGATGACTGAGCGCAAAGTCGCATTTCCCCCCGTTATTCCGACATTTGGGTTCGTTGTCGCGGTAAACGTAGGAGACAGTAGATGAAGCAGGGCGAATTTCAGACACAAATATAGCTTAATTCAATACAACAATTCAATGCTGCCCATTTCGAGTCATTTGCAGGAAGATGCGAGGTGTGCGCATGCGCGAACCGCTCGCCCTAAAATCTCGCGAGTGTATGCGTGGATAAACCCATATGTTAGTGGAGTGAACCAAACGAGTTAACGGTTAAAGTTGTAACTTTAAATAGCTGAAAATGAAATTAAATACGTGACAGTGCGAGTTTTGGAAAGAATATATACATTTTGTTGGTTTCCTGTAGGAAAAATAAATAAAAACGTCAGACCTTAGCGTCTGTTAATCAGTACCTCGTGATTTAGAACTGTTACTAAAGTCGAATACTTAATTTTGTTTGCTACCTCAAATGACCTTTGGCAGACTTTCAGCCAAAGATGGTGTAACACAGGCAGGAGCGTGAACGTTATTTTGTTGTCCAAGCTAAAGATGAGGGGAAACTTTAAGATATTTTGTCTCAGTGGGCTTCTTATTGTTTTCTCATATAACACAGCTGGTAAGTCATTTTCAAAGTTTTTCATTAGACAGATAATCAGAAATTATGCGCACCCTGTAATGGAATGCGGCTGTGCTGTTGTAATATAAAGTCGATATATATTTTGAGGTATGAAGTGCAAATATTTTTTGTTACTATTCATTAGGTCAAACGTGCAGGGGACGCTGTGGAGATGTACTGGAGAAGTGCTCCTGCCATGATACCTGTATGTCTTTGATGAGCTGCTGTGCAGACTACAATCAGTCCTGTTTCCAGGTGATCCCTTATTCCAGCTCCATGCTGGGCGGAAAAGCGCTCAGGATCCTCGGATTGGACCTTCATCCCCATGGGCAGCTTCTCTGCAGGTGTGTTTTTGTAGTATAAGAGTGTAATTTTAAGGTCAGAGATATTTTACTAGGATTTAGATGGCATTGTGGGTAATTAGCCAGATCTCAGCAAACTGATGGGAAATGTGGGGCGGAAAGTGCTTTACCTGTGCTGAAAGGTGGTCTAAGATGTTAACATAGCTTACTAAACTGTGAAGGTGAAAGGTTTGGCGTTTATGTTTATACACTAAGCATGAACGGAAGCTAAGGTTTGTAGTCAGATTTCACTAGTCTCTCTATATTTGTGTTTTCCATCTGAATCACACAGTTCTTGTTACTAATAAATTGTGTTCTTTTTTTTCAGGTTTAAAGGTGAAATTTTACGTGATGGATTTATTGATGCTGAGGGCCGTGCATACTGTATTTCTCCTCTATTGTATGAGACAGGTTGGATACCATTTGATGTCTCAACAGATGGTATTAAGTTTGACAGATCTGCACAGTATTTCTCAGGTAAGCTGCTGAAATATAAAGCTGTTTATTAGGGGTGCAACGATACCCAAAATTCACGGTTCGGTTTGGTACTTTGGTGTCACGATTCGATATTTTTTCGATACAAAAAAATGTTCATGCCTTTTTAATTTGTCATTTATTAAAATTATATATATATATTTTAACTCAAAAGTACAGTTTTTAAATTTAATGTTGCTGAAACAAAAGTAATTAAAAAAATAAATATATCTCAGGGCTCTCAAAATTTCAAAATCCCTGGTAGCCCTTCGGGCAGGGACTCTTCAGTTTTTGGTAGCCCAAAATAAATGTAAGTAGCCCGAATAAAAAAGAGAGCAATTTTTTGATTGATGTTTTGTTTCCTTTACAATATTATATATTAAAGTATAATATTGTAAAGGAAACAAAACATTAATCAAAAAATGTTGAAAAACAAATTACAACATTGTACAAAAATTACAATCATCAACTCAAATACTTGGTTCTAATTGAACAGAAATGAACTTGTAAGAACTGTGTAGGACATGAATCAGTCTGTGTCAGATCCTGAATTTGAAATTTCCACTGAAGTCACGGGTAAGAGACAAGTGGAACCAAGATCTAGGCCATTTGCTTTTTGAAGTTTGCAAAGACTGCTAAATTTTGCCAGTGGTAGTTCACTCTTTGCAACATAGCACGCTGTTCTAAACAGATTTTTCAGGTTTATTTTTAGTATGTTATTTGCAATTGGTGTTTGTTCTGGGAAAGATATTGCAGACTGAGCAATAATGCATTTCTTGCATTTCTCATGGGTTCTAATGGGGGCCTTTCTTAAAATGACTGGTCCCAGTAACAAAGGCGCTTGTCGACTCAGAAATCGAGAGAAAACCAACAACACATTCGGCAGAACATTATGTTATTTACACGGGTGCACATAAGTGGTCCGCATGTGCGCATTCGCTGTCAAAATAAAAGACGCGCACCAGATAAGAAGTTGCAACGCGCGTTTGCGTCCATATAAAAAGCACTGTTTTTGTCCGCCGCTAGAGTGGGATTTTCACGGCACATTCCACACCACATCTCTGTGCGTTCATCATTTGTTTGAAGCCAGCTCACCTCCTGCAACCACTTTTCCGAGAATACGTGCTTCTTTTGTGGTTCGGACTCCTTCTGACATTTGTTTGGAGGTGGAGGAACACCAAAGTAATTGCTTAAAGGAGCTTGCTTCTTCGACATCTTTAAGAGTTCTAAACTTAAAGAGTCTGTCCTCCTCCAGAAAATCTTATGTATACAAACACGCGTTGCAACTTCATATCTTGTGCGCGTTTTTTTTTTTACATTTTGACAGCGAATGCGCACCTGCGGACCACTTATGTGCAGCCCCGGTTATATAGCTCATCATATCGCAGCCACAGAAATTATTTTGTCCATGAAACCATAAAGCTGCACTTTCTTTTTGCCTTATAGTCTGATTTGTCATAACTTTTCCGTTTTGTGGTAAGCTTTTCTTTGGCTGTCACTTCTTCACCCTGACCTGTCTTATTTGGCTCAGCAGAACTAAAATATATATCCTGCTGATTTTACACACACACACACACACACACATAACGCTCAGCGATTCTCTGCGCGATCAACCTCTCACATGTTTAAGCTTGCTGCGGGAGATTTCACTTGTCATGTTTGCATAGTAAGCTAACGATTGATAAGACGATGTCAGAGGAATTGGTGCGCAAATTATCATCACTCACCAATCAGTACTGTCGCTCTCTATACACAGTTAGCGCGATTGCAAAGTGAAAGCAAAAAACAAGCGCAAATTCAAACGCGATTTCAATATGTCACATATTGACAATGGCTCGCCGATGCCAATGACATAATTACCCAGCTACATTTCCGAAAGAATGCAAAATCATTGGCATATATTTTTCCTTCCTACAATAGCCCAAAGGGCAGGGCAGAGATAGATTTTGGTAGCCCGACTGGAAAAATCGCTAGCTCCGGGATGTCGGGCTAGCGATTTTGCAAGCCCTGTATCTGATTCAGGAATCACTCATCTTTGGAAAAGAGAGTTTATTACAGAGAAATGGCTCTTTCCAAAATAAAAGCTATACAATACGCTTGTCCTGGGCTATATTCTCAGCAGCATAATGTAGCGGGTCAGGGCTGTTCGGGGTTCTGTTTGTACAGTTATGTTTTCTTTATGTTGCCATAGTGACGGGTGACCCCTCTCGCTGCGACGGTTTGTCCTTCCGGGGTCAGAGGGCGCCCTGTGTGGTGTTGTTGTTGTTGTTGTTGCTGCTGCTGTGCAGTTGCCGCACTGAACAGTTAGCTAGCGGCAGTGTTCATCTGTAGATGTCAATAAACGGCTGTGCTCACTGGCTAGCTCACGGGAAGCAAGACCAACCTTGTTTGAGAATCATGTGCTAACGGCTGTCTAGGGTAAAGTTTGTAGCATGCATGCTTGTTGTTTTTGTCTGCTTCCACTTCTCCTAGCACTAGGATGATGTCAGCGTAAATGTGCAGTCATATTCGTTGTGTTCCCACTAGTGCTGTCAGCGTTAATGTCATTGAAATGAAGTTAACGCCACAACACGGCAAATCTCCGTTAATGAGCTATCCCTGATCGCCCAGTGTGTGGGGCTAGACGGCCAACACGTTAACGAGCTAACTGCGCTAACACACTAGTTCCCACCCATGTAATTGAGCATTGCGTGGCACATCCAACATACTGTTTTACTTTAGTCCATGACACGCTTACCTTCAGGGTCATGTATCTGATTCAGGAATCACTCATCTTTGGAAAAGAGAGTTTATTACAGAGAAATGGCTCTTTCCAAAATAAAAGCAATACTATACGCTTGTCCTGGGCTATATTCTCAGCAGCATAATGTAGAGGGTCAGGGCTGTTCGAGGTTCTGTTTGTACAGTTATGTTTTGTTTATGTTGCCATAGTGATGGGTGACCCCTGCGACGGTGTGTCCTTCCGGGGTCAGAGGGCGCCCTGTGTGTTGTTGTTGTTGCTGTGCGGTTGCCGCGCTGAGCAGTTAGCTAGAGGCAGTGTTCTTCTGCAGATGTCAATAAATGGCTGTGCTCCCTGGCTAGCTCACGGGAAGCAAGACTGCCTTCAAAAAGGGACTCATAATGATTGTTTTTCATGCTTTGATTTGGCATGATTTGCCACAACATGGCAAATCATGTGCTAACGGCTGTCTAAATGACTCCGGTAAAGTTTGTAGCATGCATGCTTGTTGTTTTTGTCTGCTTCCACTTGTCTTTGCACTAGGATGATGTCGGCATAAATGTGCAGTCATATTTGTTGTGTTCCCACTAGTGCTGTCAGCGTTAATGTCATTGAAATGAAGTTAACGCCACAACACGGCAAATCTCCGTTAATGAGCTATCCCTGATCGCCCAGTGTGTGGGGCTAGAGGCCAACACGTTAACGAGCTAACTGCGCTAACACACTAGTTCCCACCCATGTAATTGAGCATTGCGTGGCACATCCAACATACTGTTTTACTTTAGTCCATGACACGCTTACCTTCAGGGTCATGTATCTGATTGAGGAATCACTCATCTTTGGAAAAGAGAGTTTATTACAGAGAAATGGCTCTTTCCAAAATAAAAGCAATACTATACGCTTGTCCTGGGCTATATTCTCAGCAGCATAATGTAGAGGGTCAGGGCTGTTCGAGGTTCTGTTTGTACAGTTATGTTTTGTTTATGTTGCAATAGTGATGGGTGACCCCTGCGACGGTGTGTCCTTCCGGGGTCAGAGGGCGCCCTGTGTGTTGTTGTTGCCGCACTGAACAGTTAGCTAGCGGCAGTGTTCATCTGTAGATGTCAATAAACGGCTGTGCTCCCTGGCTAGCTCACAGGAAGCAAGACCAAACGACACCTCCGTCTCCTCCTTGTTTGAGAATCATGTGCTAACGGCTGTCTAAATGACTCGGGTAAAGTTTGTAGCATGCATGCTTGTTGTTTTTGTCTGCTTCCACTTCTCCTAGCACTAGGATGATGTCAGCGTAAATGTGCAGTCATATTCGTTGTGTTCCCACTAGTGCTGTCAGCGTTAATGTCATTGAAATGAAGTTAACGCCACAACACGGCAAATCTCCGTTAATGAGCTATCCCTGATCGCCCAGTGTGTGGGGCTAGATGGCCAACACGTTAAGCTAACTGCGCTAACACACTAGTTCCCACCCATGTAATTGAGCATTGCGTGGCACATCCAACATACTGTTTTACTTTAGTCCATGACACGCTTACCTTCAGGGTCATGTATCTGATTCAGGAATCACTCATCTTTGGAAAAGAGAGTTTATTACAGAGAAATGGCTCTTTCCAAAATAAAAGCAATACTATACGCTTGTCCTGGGCTATATTCTCAGCAGCATAATGTAGAGGGTCAGGGCTGTTCGAGGTTCTGTTTGTACAGTTATGTTTTGTTTATGTTGCCATAGTGATGGGTGACCCCTGCGACGGTGTGTCCTTCCGGGGTCAGAGGGCGCCCTGTGTGTTGTTGTTGTTGCTGTGCGGTTGCCGCGCTGAGCAGTTAGCTAGCGGCAGTGTTCTTCTGCAGATGTCAATAAACGGCTGTGCTCCCTGGCTAGCTCACCGGAAGCAAGACTGCCTTCAAAAAGGGACTCATAATGATTGTTTTTCATGCTTTGATTTGGCATGATTTGCCACAACATGGCAAATCATGTGCTAACGGCTGTCTAAATGACTCGGGTAAAGTTTGTAGCATGCATGCTTGTTGTTTTTGTCTGCTTCCACTTGTCTTTGCACTAGGATGATGTCAGCGTAAATGTGCAGTCATATTTGTTGTGTTCCCACTAGTGCTGTCAGCGTTAATGTCATTGAAATGAAGTTAACGCCACAACACGGCAAATCTCCGTTAATGAGCTATCCCTGATCGCCCAGTGCATGGGGCTAGACGGCCAACACGTTAACACACTAGTTCCCATACTGTTTTACTTTAGTCCATGACACGCTTACCTTCAGGGTCATGTATCTGATTGAGGAATCACTCATCTTTGGAAAAGAGAGTTTATTACAGAGAAATGGCTCTTTCCAAAATAAAAGCAATACTATATGCTTCTCCTGGGTTATATTGTCAGCAGCATAATGTAGCGGGTCAGGGCTGTTTGGGGTTCTGTTTGTACAGTTATGTTTTGTTTATGTTGCCATAGTGACGGGTGACTCCTCTCGCTACATCACATGAAAACCAAAATAATTCCAAACGCCAGATCTGAATGAGGGTGGGGGAGGTTCAATTTGCCATGTTGCAAGGAGAGCTTAACTTCTGTCTCGCTAGTTTGCCCTGCGCTCTTCCTTCTGACAATGCTGTCTGTGTTGAACGCTCAGTGGATCTGCGCTTGACAGTGCAGCCTAGGCGGAGTAGTCGAACGCAGATTCACTGAGCGCTCAACACAGACAGCATCGTCAGAAGGAAAGTTGATAAAATAAATTACAAATTTTGTATTGTTCGATACATATGCGTACCGAACCGAAAGCACTGTATCGAACGGTTCAATATCGATACGAGTATCGTTGCACCCCTACTGTTTATGTCCTGTCTCTAAACTGATCGATATCTAAACCTTTTGGTGTATTAACTGTCTATTAGGTTGATTTAGAAACTATAGAAAATATTTTAAGTGCTATTTAAAGAAGACTTCATTGCAGATACAGTATTTTAATTCCCACTTCCCCAACTAGATATTGGCCAGTGTGAAAAAATTAAATAATATAGACCCATTTTGCAATTATTCATGCTGCTTCCAATACATTATTAAAACTGTTGCTACAACTTGTGAATTACAATTAAATTTGTTGTGTTTAACTATCAGTCCATCCAAGTAAAGCAGATCCTGCTTATAAAGTTACCCTGGGGAATGCAACGCAGTGGCAATACTACGGCATGCCGAATGTGGCAGGACGACTTGAGTTCACTTGGAATAGTTCTTTGATCAGTGCAGAGAAGGTCAACATAGAGCTGTGGGGTTACAGAGAGTTTAAAGCAAAAGAAGAGACAAATGCATCAGCCCTTTTAGAGGCAGAGCTGCGGTATCTGTATTCTCTTGGAAGAAATCTGACCAACACTGGTGCCTTCAGCTTCATCCCTGAGCCCAAAGAGGACTACTCTGACTGGGAGTTGGGCAATATCCGCATTACTGCGAGTTCTAACGTGGAAGGAGCAAGGTATCTATAATACATATCAGGCATTGGACATGTCATATTTAAACATTATTTTGTCCCATATTTGTAAAATCTTGCTATAATGCTAACAATTTTGCATCCTTTTCATAGTTGTTAAAATTCTAGGAATAAGGTGAAAAAATGTGAACTGAAACTATTATGCTAATTTCAATTTCTGTATTGTTATTCTTGCATGACTCCCAGGTCAAAATAACCTTTGTTGTTATACTGGCCATCATTTGCCATGACAGTTCCTCAGTCTTTAAGGCCATCTTAAGGCTTTCTTCTGATTGGCAGCCCCTCACAGGCAAAAGATTTGAGCAGCAAGTGGGAGTGGCTTCTGTACTTACAACCAAAGCTCTGTGACTGAAATGGAGAAGAACATTGTCTGAAACAAAGAGGCTTAGCCTTTTTTTTGCTCAAACTTACGCTGACCTCAGTGTTCAAAACTGTGGCCATATTTATTATTAGCATCCACCACTGGAACAGTGTATTTATGAACATGGATGACAATAAGAGGTTCATCTTAAACGTATAGTTTTATATCTGTCAGATATCAGAAAGAGGTTATTTGGATTTAATCTGATCATAAAATGTGCCTGGCTTTAAAAACTTAGATTTAAGGTGACTGTCTTTGTAATAACCAAAGTTTTTATTTAAGGTTTGACATTTGGATTGATTGTAAACCTTGTCTACAACCCTTCATCATTGCAAATGTCTGCTAGCATCTGAAACGCGAGGATCTACTACTGTTTTCTGTTTTTATTTGTACCAAAATCACAGTTTTGTTTATAACACAGAGATGTACAAGGCCTCTGGAGTGGAGGCTACGTGTTGGCCTGGCACCTGGAGCAGGCTTTCAGAGAAAACTCTGCAGCCTGGGCACACAATAAGTGTCTGAAATGGGATGTGCTGGAGGAAAACCTGCCAAACTTCCTGAATGAACTCATCGACTGTCCTTGCACACTGGCTCAGGCCCGAGCAGATACAGGCAGGTTTCATGTGAGTACATGTACCTCAGCGAATCCTCAAATAATATCTGTACAGATTGTGTGTCACATGGTCAGATACAGTAGAGCATAAGACTCCTGTACTGGATTGCCTTTCTTCAGTTGTTCTAGACTGAAGTCTACATACCCTTACCGTTAGTAAAAGTATATTTACATCATGTCCTTAGGGATTAATAAAGGATTCTGATTTACAGCTTAAAAAATCCCAACTAAGAACCTTTACTGTTCTGAACTGTTTTTAAAAGGAAGCTGTTCTTTAGTATTCTCAGGGTTACGGTTAGTAAGGCTAATAAGGGTGGAAATTAAAAAGATAGCATGGATTTTGGATTTTGTTCTCCTCTGTCTTTTTGAAAATATTTCTAATCTTGTTCTGTTAAATTGTCAGTCTGGCTGATTTGTGCCTCTGTAGTGGACTGCGAGGGTAACATTGTCAAGGCCTGTTAAAGATTTACACCGGTCATTGTTATTTATTTTCCATCCATTTTGGTGTTTCAGACTGATTATAGTTGTGACATTGAGAGGGGAAGTGTGTGCACTTACCACCCAGGTTGTGTCCACTGTGTCCGAGCAATTCATGCCAGGTAGGCGTGGCATAATCAAGAAAAAATCAAGTTTTTAAAAATGTAAAATTGAAATACGCTTTTCCTTTTTATTGCGATTTTTGTTTTATCATTTGTAGTCCTATCCATGGATCAGGGCAGCAGTGCTGCTATGACAGCACAGGTTCTCTGGTGCTGACTGGAGACTCAGTTGGTGGAAGCACCCCAGACAGGGCTCACGACTGGGGCTCGCCACCCTACATTAAACCCCCACGGGTGCCAGGGTATTCCCACTGGCTTTATGATGTCATGAGCTTCTATTATTGCTGCCTGTGGTCCCCACACTGCCATATATACTTAAAACGTCGACCTTCAAGTGGGTGTCAAAACTACCGACCACCAAGAGCAGGTGAGACGACTCTTCAGTCAAGTCATATGTCTTTATTTAATTCATAGATGGGAATGAAAAGCGGGTATCAAGACCTGATAAAACCGTTTTTATTTGAGTCTTATATCAGAATTATTGACTAGTTAATTTTGTTGTTTAACTTCAGTAAGTAAGTCAGCTATATAAAAATGTGTCTTATACTGCATACTGCAGTAGTAAGTATCTTTTTTTTAAAAAGTCAAACATCCTCATTTATTGCTAAAATAAATAGGCCCACACTGAGTGTTTGTTAATCTTTATCCAAATACTTCCGTCTTCCTTGAACCTTATAATATATTCTGCAAACGGTCATTAGAGCAGCAGGTTACATAAGATTGGTTTGCAGGTAAAGTAAATGAATGACAGAATATTGCTGAGAGTTAAAATGTGAAAAACAAAAAACTGACTCCATCTCATGAGTTTAAAAACAACATTGCAACCTCTATGTTGATATTAGAAAAGCTCTGCGAGAGATGAGAAATAATTATGTTTGTGGGCATCGCTGCTTTTTTCTCAATGCCTCGCAGGTGTCGTCCTCGGGGATCCACATTTCATAACGTTCGATGGCCTTAGGTACACTTTCAATGGCAAAGGAGAATATTACCTTGTGTCGTCACCAGCAAAAGGCCTGAGTGTTCAGGCCAGAACAGAACAGGTGAAACTTAAGAACGGTGAGTCCACGTTTGAGGTGAATGGCCTGTCTGAATCCACTCTTTGATCCCCATGGTGTGCCTCTGGAATTTGCCCACGCATACTGACCTTAACATCGCGTGACGCATTCTGTCTTGTTTTGCATGCACTGTTTCTCTTAATGTTTTACACACTGAGAGGAAGCAAACTAAGCCCCTAGTTTAAGAGAATGCACTAGTGCTACAAAATGACAGCCTTGTTTTTTTACTCAGTGCTTCTTAGAGTCAGATGTGTTGAAGAAGAACAGATGTTAGCTTCGCTCGTTAGAATTTTTTCCAAGTCATTATATAAGAGCCATGGGCCAAGTGACTTGGAAAGCCAGATGCCATTAATAGTCCCCTCATTAGATCAATGTAGACAAACATCTGGATTATTTGAAACGGCAGAGACTTAAAGTCAACCTTTATTTCTTTTTTCTTTTTTTTAAAATACATTTATATTATTACTCTGGTTACAAATAAGAGTTAGTAAGAGCCAAAATCTAAGGCCCTCCTGAAACGCACCATGTTTTTTTTTTCTACTCATGGCCCTGTCTGATGTCATTAAGAGGGATTGTCCCAAATAGGGTTCTAATATCTTAAACACAGAGTTCTGACTGTGACCACAGGAGCAGAAAAAATTGCTTGTTTCTGGCAGAGGATGAAACGAGTGTTTGTACCGAGACCCAACATAAGATAAACAAGGAGCTGTAAATTATGTTAATTGAATGATAGGTCCCCTTTTATGTTGACTTCAGAGTACATAATGCATATTTAAAATGTAATTATGTCCAAAAACAAGGTACTTTGGCCAAAGCCACACGGCTGTCGTCAGTGGCTATGAAACAGGATGCATCAGATGTCATTGAGGTGCGTGTAGCAGGGGCCCATCTTCAGGTGCTGAGGAACCAAAACATCCTACCATTCACTGAACAGAGATGGATGGACCTACATGGTGAGGTGCTTTAGATTCTCCTGACTTGGTTAAAGCTCTGATAAAAATCGTTACACTTTTATTACCCAAAGTTACATCAAAAGAAGGATCTTAATTATTAACAAAGTAACTTTAATAAAATAAAAACTCTGATTTTGGAGGTGATCTTTTGTGATTTCCTGTCATTACTGTGCATTCCTCCAACAGTTTATTCACTGCTTTTTGTTCTCATACTTTTTTCGTGCTTTCTTGCTTACATTTTAAGGTTTGCCTGTTATGTGATGCAAAGCCTGCAGACAGTTATTGTTTAGGATGATAAAACACAAGTTTTTTAAAATTTAAACCATGCCTTGTACATATTTTAGTTGCTCAGTTTTTTGTTTTATTGTTACATTTATTAAACTGGAACCGTTTGTTATAAACTCATGGATGAATCTATGTTTTCTAGGAGTGTATGTGTTCAGCCCCAGTCCTGGGAATGTGACTGTAATCTTTTCCTCCGGTGTTGGCGTGAAGGTTCGTCTGTATGAAGGAACCATGGCAGTGACCGTGCTGCTTCCAGGAGAGTTTTACAACCACACCCAGGGTCTCCTTGGCTCAATGAACTCTGACCCATCAGATGATCTGACCATCCAACTCGGAGAAGTCATCTCCTCAGCTGATGCCACGTTGGAAGAAATCTTTACCTTTGGGGCCAGCTGTAAGTAAGAGAGCCTGTTGTTTGTGAAACAGCAGAAAATCAATCACATTGAGCAAACGCTGACAACCAGTTATCAATCGAAAACACTAAATATGCTTATGAATCATTTTGTTTTTGCGAGCTCTTTTCTGTGTTTACAAAGGCAAAAGGAATTTAAAGATTTGCTAATAATCCCCACATCAAATCGGTTTTTTCAGCGTTTTAATAAAAGGACTCAATTTATGATAAATGTTTTGAGAGTGCACAGAAGGAGAACATGCATGTTTTAAGTTAGCCTTAATAGATTTTAGAGAGTGAGCAAGTAAAAGCACATAAATTGGTGCTTTTCAATTGTTACAGATCCTTAAAAACTAGTGAACAGCTGACATACAATTAACCGTTTAACTGATTTCATGTGCTGTTTTAACTGAAACAGACACTCAAAACAAAACGACAGCATGTATTTGACTCTGCTCTGGGTTTTTTTCTTGCTTACATATTGTGTACTTCTAATTCTTTACTTTTCATACCACATTCTAGAAAATAATCAGTTTCATCCAAGGTTTAAAAATAGTTGTTTTTTTTATTCAGAGATATGTCCCCTATATGTAACAGACCTTTAGTTTCACCATTTATAAGCTGTTTTGTTAAGTCCTAACCTAAATGACAGTGTGTAGTAATTTCACAAATATACTTGTATGGTTTTTGTTTTTTAACGAATGAAAATATTGTGTGTTTCTGCCCATAGGGAACATTTCAAAGAAATCCTCCCTTTTCACATATGATTCAGAGCACCTTTTGGATATGTATAATATCCCACCGAGCCATGACCCCACTTTTGTTCCAGCTTTTTCTCTACCCGAGAGCCTTGATGACCCTTTGGTGGCAGACATGTTGACAATGTGTTATGGAGAAGGTTCACAGTTTTGTAAATATGATACCCTGACGACTCGGGACCTCACAGTGGGAAATGCCACACTCAAGGCCTACCAGAAACACCAAGCCCTACTGCACGCCCTGAAACCAGGTACCACAGGAAATAAGAGGAAGCCTATTCATATGTAGTTTGTGATTACATGTTTATTCTTACTGTTTCATTTTAAATAAAACTGAGTATCTGAACAACACTGAACACCAGTGTTGTTACGTAGAAAGGATTATACATCACATTATGCCATAAGAAAACCTAATAAGAGAAAATATTAGTTTTGGAAATTGTTTTATAGTTATACGTCTGAAAATAACCCTTTTTAACCTTTTCTTTAATACTTGGCAGAGCACAATGAAATAATAGTTTAGTGTGTTATTCTTCCTTAGTGGTGTCTTGTGGCTGGCTTCCCACACCAAGGAATGGGAGGAAGAACGGGACTGATTACCTGGAGGGGAGCACTCTAAGCTTCGCCTGCAACAAAGGCTACATAATGTATGGATCTGCAGAGCGCACCTGTCTGGGTGATGGGACCTGGACAGGAGATCAGCCCTTCTGTATTACAGGTACGCTCTAAAAGTAAAGCCATAATAAACAAGAAGCTCTCTGAGAACGCAAATCTCTGCTGAGGCAGGGCACTCTGTGGGCAGTATTCACCTTTAGTCGAATTGAAATTGTATAAATTTCTTGTTTTTATACACACTTTAAGAAGTTTATAATTTAAAATAAATCTAATTTTGATGGATTTGATGGTAAAATGAGTTCAGCAGATATGAATGTGAGAAAAGGAGCAATAATATGAACGCATATGATCCAGTACTATATAACTATTGCAGACATTATTAATGAAAATCTCTCTTCCAAGTGATTAATGAGCTGTTTTTTTTTTAAGACAAACAAGTGTGTTGATGATCTGAACAGAATCACGTGCATTTGATCAATTTTTTTTATGTCTTTAAAGATGGGAGATGGTGGATATTTCAAAACAGTTCCCATTGGCAACAGAGTTCAGTGCCACATGTCTGAAAAACATTTAGAAAAAAAAGAAGTCTCACTTTCTTTGTGATAGACTCCATATCTCAAACTCTTTGTAACTCCCTGCCAGCTGAGTCTTGTAGCATGATGTATACTGTCATTGGCACTGAAGTATAATATAATTTAGACTGGAGGGAAAAATGTGAACGCTGTAATTTCTCTGTCAGTTTAAACTTGCACATTTCGTGCTCCACAATTGGTAGCAGCTTCCTCTTGAAATTGAGATGACTGGTGAATCTCTTTCTTGTCATGCAGTCTTTTGGACAGCAAAGATTACATAGACTTGGCTCGCGGTTGCTCATGCAGACCTTCAGTAACAAAGCTACAAACGTCTGAACTTGAACGGGCTCGGCTTTGTGTCTGTGAATTAGAACCACCTGGAACCATCTAATGCTTTCATTCATCACCTCATCTAAGAACTCAAAATGAGTATTGTAGTTTTAAGCTGATGCCATCAGATGGCAGTATTTCCAATTGAATACTCTTAGTGTGGTCAGTACCAGTTCTCCCAGTATGTCAAGATTCGTACAGCATCAGAATTCATTTTGCAGCCTGATAACCAGAATGTTTTTTTTTCTGGTAACTTTAACAGAGTTTTTATTTTCTATGCTCTGAAAAAAGCCTCACACATATGCACAGCCAAGCTGCTTCCAATTAAAATCATTTTAATAACCTTTTTTTTTTCCTTTTTGTTTTGCCTTTTTTGGCTCTACAGATGAGACAAATGTGTGAGCAACAGTTTATCTCACAAATATATATATTCACGCAGTATGCCCTGTTTGTTTGCATACTGCTTGTAATGCATGTACTTTCTGTAGTATGTGTTCAGTATATTCTTTGTAACATCAGTCGCAGAGTTTATGGAAGTAAAAAGAAAGTGAGCTGGAACGCAGGCCCAGTATAATGTGTTTGTGACAGAGCGGGTTAATGCCTCATTTTGTGGAAATAAATGGTTGATTTTAAGAAAACAACTGGTAATGACATAGTAATTATTTGTATTGCAGTTAAATTAAGATTTGATGAAATGGTGCATCTGAGAAGTGATGAAGCAGAGAATCGAAAGCGCTTAACTTCTGATCCACCTCTGCTTTCGTCCTTTCGTGGCCTCACTCCTGCCCTCCATCCTTTCCTCGTTATAACCACAAACACAGACTTCCTCTTGATAGTGATCGGGGATAAATGAGCTTCACTGAAAAGATTTGGAGTCCCTTGTAACAAACAGCTTGGTACAGCTGGATACAATTGATCCAAACTCAATTATTAGCATATTGGTTTCATAACGTGGTTATCTAGAGCAGAACTGTTTAGAAATGTTTGTTATTAAGCCTGGTGATATCTCTTTGTTTTTCTCTACATCTGTTATTTTGCTTTCTTTTCACAGCGATCTCCTTTCTGACTTTTTTGCTAAGGTTTCATCTTAATTATTATTACATTATCCATAATTGGAAAATACCATGCATATCCCTTTTCTGACTACTTGAACTTGTGCGACTGTGATGGATGACTCTCCTTCGGTGTGTCAAAAACTCAATTTGAATTTTATTTGGGAGAAGAAGAAGAACTTTTGGGCCTTCAATTGTCACAATTAGGATTGGTGGTGAGCAAAGATTGTGGGCGAAGAGCACAGTAGTGCTACTGACCCCTGGGGAGCGAAGTCATGCTGCGAAAGCTTGCAAATGTTGGAAAAAATGACAAGAATTCTCCCGGTCAGGCTCCTGACCTGATGAGCTGCCTGTGGCCTTAGACACTGTGAACTTTTCCACTGCTGAAAAACTGCTGGGTCATTGCAGTAGAGCGGTGATGTTCATCAACACTAATGTCAAGTTAGTTTGAAACAGGCTTTATACTTTGTTGAAGTTTTGGACACATTCCTGCTATACTTCTCATCTCTTTATGGGCGCAGAGTGCTCATAAAGGCCACGTGGTTTTATTTGTTTTTATGGTGCAAGATGTGGAAATTGTTGATTGTAGCTTGTGCTGTCTCTCTGACAGATAGGTGCACAAATAAACAGTCATATTCTGTGAGGTAGTGCTTTAATGTGACCGTTCTACACGGGCGTACACACATACACACACAAAGGTGGGCCTTTTTAGCCTTGTGGAAAATGATTATATTTGCTGTGGCACTCTCGTTACACAAATCAGAGCTAACAACTGCAAACATGACCTGAGGTTCGGAATGGCAGGTGTTGCATGAGCTGTTAACTCCGCCATTCGAATGTGACCTCTAACCAAGTAAACATACTAAATACAGACAGAGCTGGAGACGCCCTGGTGGATCTCGCCTCCTCCCCTTAAATGAATCGCTGCAGCACGATGTGCAGGCTGAACAGTTGCAGAATTGGAGTCACAGCTGAGATGAAAAGGCTGTGCCGCTGAACAACAAATGTGACCACATCCAGTTTGACTTCTTCTCTGAGTCACTTTAATGAGTTGCTGCTGAAATGTTGCCTGCTATCAGCAGAGGTGACAGTAAGTCCTTTCCATCAAAAGTGGATCTCTGTATGAATTTTCCCATCACTAAAATCCCCAGCTATTTGAGATGGATGCTGTACTTGTCGGCGTGCTTTTTTAGCCATTTTAGAGTTTAGGTAGTGGTGGTGCAGTGTGTTGTGAGGATAATGTTAATATCTTCTGCTAGAAAGATGGGAGTGTTGGAGAAGTGAAGGTGGAGTTTGGACTGAAAGTCCTCTGAGTGCTTTTGATCTCACGACTGACAGGGCTGTGAGAGACTTACAAGGTCCTAGAGCTTACTAGCATTGCTGTGCCTTGTCACGGTCTTCTGAAAAACAATACCCCTGGTTGAGTATCAAATGCATACCAATAACAGGTTTGGCCCACCTTAATGGCCTTATAATATTAATACAGTTTCTTGCGTAGAGGGGAAGAAAGTGATTAAAGGGAAGGTGACAGCTGCCAGAAGGGGATCGAGCAATTTTCATAGGGAGTAGTGACGTGGGTTGCAAGACAAAGCCTCACTCAATTTACTCGCTGTGGTTCTCTCTTAGATTCCCCTGAGATAGTGCAGCTGAGCATTGAGAGAGAGAGAGAGGCAAAAGTGGTTGGTAAATTCAGGTTGCGTAGGAGAATGAGAATTGAAATGCCAACCAGGGACAGCTCGAGACCTTAAAACCAGTCATGTTGCTCACATTTTAGTGTCTTGCTTGTGGCCATTTCTGTCACTGAAAGTCTCTACTTGATAAATTCCACTTAGCAGGCTTTTTCACCTCTGTTATATTTTAATTTTGAGTTCAAGTTACATTTAATTCAAATTAATTCAACATTCAATTAAAAAATGAATACAAGAATGTGAAGTCAGCAGTGTTGAATGTTGAAACATTTGACATGTGTTGTTTCACACTGTGCTGAGCAAGATTAGAAGAATTGCAGCAAGTACTTCATATGGCCTTCACACTGCATTTTTCTAACTGTTAGTATCATACGCAGTAGAAAAGATGGACGTGTACTATTGCATTACCCACTGGTTTGTAAAGTCCTGTTACAAAGCCACAGTTTGATTATTTTCACCTCAACCATCTTGATATATAGAAACCAGATGTGATGAGTGCGGGGTGGATCTGACTGTGAAACTTCACAGTTATTGATTTGTGACTGGCAAGTGACGAGCAGAGATGGGCAGTAACACATTACTTGTAATGTAATCCGATTACTTTTTTCAAGTAACGAGTAAAGTAAGGGATTACTATTGCAAAAACGGTAATTAGATTACTGTTACTTTCCCGTAAGCATGCTGCGTTATTGCGTTACTAAAACCGTGATTTTTTTTTTTTTTTTTTGCGAGAATGTCTCATGACAGTGACGTAAGCGAGTGCGACGTTCGTGACAACAGCTGTGTGCAGATCAACAATGGATAATATATTGAGTGCGGGAGAGAGTATGAGCGTGCAGCGTCTAAACCGTGGAAGTACTGACCTTACTTTGAGTTTGATTCCATAAAAAGTGACAAAAACATTAGTGTCCGTTGTGCGTGGGAAGAAAACTTCTTTTTACAGCGAAAAAACCCCCCAAAACTTCCAAGCAAGCACCAAGTGCGCTATGACGTAATGGGGAATTCACAGAGAAACTTGCGGATTCTTCAACTGACCGCGGCACACCTGCACCAGGGTAAACCTCCGCCTACCCCGCTCCTGCTTTACAGCTGAAAATAGAGCAACAGGACCGCTAGTGTTTGATTTTATTTATTTTCTGCTGTGTTTTACTTGCAAAAGAGACTTTTCCATTTGATTACATTTTGTATGATGGATTATGCAGAACTGGGCTGAAAAATCTATTGCTTTATCACCTATTCAGGTTGTAAATCGTGTTTTTAAAAGTAATTAATTACTTTTGAAAATGAGTAATCAGTAAAGTAACGGGATTACTTTTTTGGGGAAGTAATTAGTTACTGATTACTTTTTCAAGTAACTTGACCGACACTGGTGACGAGTCCACCAGCATGAACAGATAAGCCTCTTATGACTTATGAAGTCTGATTTTTTTCTTTTAGAATGTAATGTGTGCTTTCACCTGC